GGGTTTTTCCAACTCGGAAGGACATCGACTTAAAGACGGTGAACAAAAATGGCACTAATTAAAGGTTGCTTTGTGATTAAAACTGGAACTACCAGAATTCCTTAACTACTAGAATGACCACAGCAGTCGTTCTGATCATGCATATACAATTGCGTCTGAATTGAATCTTTGTCATATCAAATTTCAAAAAAGAGTTCACACTTAGCTTTTGTTTGATACTAGTTGTGGGTTTAACATCCTGTCCCAGGAGAGAACCCTGAGGCCCCATTCACACTAATAGGTTTTAGTTTTTAAGTAGTATTTTTTAACAAAAATGATCCACGTCAAGACTGGCATTTCATCTAACATTTCTGAAAAGGTCTCCATCCATACTATACAGCTGAAAATGCACATCACGGGACCACACATACACACAGCCTAGCATGCGCTGCAGCATATGCATATGTCTGAGCTCCAGGTAGTCCAGGGAGCAGTGCACATCTGACAGTTCATCAAGAATTTACTGCTTGATCTCACTTAAGTTGTTAATTGTGATATTTAACTAATCTTGTGTTTATCTAACGACTCTTTGGCCTTTTGAATTATCTATTATTTGTTCTCAGGTAACATGTTTTGGCTGAGCGCAAAGTTAAGTTAATATATTACTTTATGTAACCACGTACACTGATTATGCATATTTGACTGAAACTTATTGTACATTATACTTTTATAATGGCCATCATGGATCATAAAAACTGATATTCAGCAAAAGGGACAGGGTGTTTAATAGTTTTCAAAGAAAATACGGGGGCAGTTATGTTATAGGCTCCGTTTTGTTATAAATATGCATACAGTGAAGATGACACTTATATAAATACGTAGCTACACGACGCCTTAACATTTTTAGTGTCTGTTAAGTTGCTAATATCAAAATGAAAAATGGTAGTTTCTTATATCAAGTTTTCATTTTATTGTTAAGAAAGTAAAACAACATAGCCAGGGTGATGTGAATGAGGTTATAAAGTACACTGTTGGTGTAACCATAGCAAAACTTTTGCATTTTAAAACTAAAATGTATTAGTGTAAGTGAGGCCTGAGCTCTAAGATGCTAGAGCCCAGGGCTCCCACCTGGTTATATAGCATAGCAGGGGGTCTGAGATCAGGTAGGTACCCCCCCGGTAAAGGAGGAAAAGGAGAGATGGGGGATTCTTAAAAATTGCCTTTTATTTGAGTCTTGAATTCATGGTTTATCAATGATTGTTGATGCAGGACCAGCTGTGATCAATCATATCATGTGCTCCTCTAGAAATGTTTATAAAACGTTACTTCAAAGCTTCTATTGACTTTTTAGAATATTTTATGATGTCATTACTCTAAAATATCAGTTTTTGTATCATAACATATAATTGTGAAGGAGTTACACATTTAAAGCTTTGTCCGGTGAGCAGGGAATTTTTATTATTTAAAACTATGAAAGACACGTCATCCTGTAACTATAGTAATGTTTTTGTTAGCAAAAAGTAATTTTTTTGTTGGCAGAAAGTTAGGCAACAGAGGCACTCATTTTCAAAAGAATGGATGCTGAAATGCATGCAGTCAATTTGACCATTACGACCATTCAAGGTAGAAATAATCCAAACTATTCATAAAATAAACTCTTAATAAAATAACAATGCTAGAATAAAATTTAAGAAAAGTCATGGTACTAAAGTTATATGGTATAATAGTTTAACGGTTAAAATGACTGCCTTGGTAGTTCTAGAGTAAAACTCTTCTATTCACATACGCAGTAGGAGAAACTTTAATACTGACTTTTCCTGTCATTTGAAAGGGAAATACTTCAATTGTGCTGCTAATGTCTGTGATGTGATTGCGTTTAATTAAATATCTGTGGATAATTTGGTCTGGGAATGTCATTATGTCCTTGGAACGCAGGGCATGTTTTCTCTTCTCATGCTCATTTTCCTAATGCACAGGCTTTTATGTAAGTACATCTCAAGTCTTGTAGTGAATTAATATGGCAATGAAGGATTGGGGATGGATGTGTAATTGGACAAGCGATCTCCCTTGACGTTTAATGGCCTCTGAAGGCAGCGGCCGCAGGGCAGTGGATGAGAAAGCCGGGAGGAGAGCCTCTGTGTAAGTCTGCAACATAAAGAACTGTCCGTTTGAGAACTAGCAGAACAATCGGAAATGTAATTAAGAGCCGGCTGCGGCTTTTAAACGCTCGGCTAGAGCAGAAACAAACAGGCGGGGAAAAAGAAACATCCATGTATTGAAAATGTGCAGTGTGATCAATAACCCACAGTTTGGAACGCATCAAAGAGGGAGTTTTGAGACTTTGCTTAGTTTCTTTTCAAAACTGCAGGTTTTCAAAGCAATCTCTGATGTTGTTAAACTCCTATTAAAAGTATACATTGGCTCCATTTCTCTATGAGTCAGGCGTATACATTTAAAGTCAAATTTAAGAGCCATCTCTTGGACTCCCTTGAAGGAGTAAGGTTAATCAAAACATCAATCAAACATAATTACCTAGAAGTGGCGCAAGGACAGAGTTTCAAGCAGATAATAACTATTGTCTTTAGCTGCAGGGGAATAAAATTCATCTCAAAGCCAGATTTTCCGCACAAGCCTTCCCTCAGACCGAGCATCACACCAAGCAGGTGATTGTGCAATTATTCTGCAAATCGAGCTTAGAGCCCGCAGAGCTTTTTTTCAGAGTGTTATCTAGATATACTCAGCAAAATCATTGATAAAATGCTTATTTTTAACAGATGAACTGTGAACTAATTAAATCTGTTTAATTAAAACACGTGTCTGTGATGTGTTATTAACAGTTCACAACAAACAGTTTGATTGTTTCATATTATTTTAATTATAGTCAGTAGCTATGTTTCAATCCAATGATGCAAATTAAATATATGCGCAAAATTGGAGTATTGTATCAAACCTTTCTGAAAAACATTTCCATTCAATGTGTAAAGAGGAATGGATCGTCACTTTCTGATAAGCTGACGGCAAATATCAAAGAGAAAAATGACATTAGAAGCCACCGTGAGTCTTTTTATTTTTTCCTAGAAAAGAAATGTCTTGTGCCTCAGAAGATGAAGATGAATGCAACACAATGAATGCAATCATAACTGGCTTTTGGAGGTTCCAGACTATTCTGTGGAAAATCAACTGTTCAAGACACCTTCTCATATATAACATTTAAAAATATTTGGACATGTTTGTTCATTCATATATATCCGTCACTTTTCTTTTTTTCATCATCTGTTAAAACAAAATCAGATGACATTTTTGACGCGCATGCCAAAATTTATTCAGTAAATTTTTTGCAAATTTCTAAAATGTAGGTGCATCTTTGTGTTTATGAGGGTCTAAAATGTAATTAAAAATAGGTGGATGAAAAGATACTAAATTGTTACTATTGTTGGAAACTGTCCCACTTCAGCTAAATGAATTCTGATGATTTTGATCAGCTAGATGCCAGTCAAAATATTAAAATAAGTCATGCATCTATGCTGTCTCTATAACAAGAAGTCTAATTAAGCATTGACATATAGTTTAGCAATTAGATTAAATTAAATGTAATAAAAGGATTGTATATGAAAACACGTACATCACTTCATTAAAATATATTACAAAAACTTACAAATAGAAGCCCTTAATACACACTAAATCAGGCAAAAAGTTCCAAGAAGGCACAAGATGAGATCAGATTGACGTTGTATCCCAATGTCAGAAGACAGTGCATTTTGCTTGGACATGAAAATCGTGTTGACATCAGACCCAACATCAGGCCAACATCAATGTCCAACATACAACCTAAAATCAACCAGATAAAAATGTCTATGATGTTACAGCTTTGACGTTGTGTGGATGTTACCACTAAGATTTTGGCTGCCATACCTGACGGATAAATGTCAATATTTGACGTCAGTATGACATTGGTCCACGTTGGATTTTGGTCACTTTCCATCACAACTTAAAATCAACCAAACCTCAATGTCATTTAACGTCGTTATTAGACGTCGTCCTTAGACTCTGGTTAGACATTGAAGTTTGGTCACCTGACGTCACAACCTAAGTTTAAGCTATTATTAATGTCTTATGATGTTGTGTGCCTGCTGGGTTGGCATAAACTAATTCAAATGACCTACTAGTTAATAATAGTATCATAAATACTTCTGAAAGCACCAATCATGCTGTTTACAATTCTATTCAGAATTTAAACATAACTAAAAAGCACAGAATATGTGTCAAAAAAGCTATTAGTGTTCGTTTGCTAATCTTCTTCAGACAACCAGGTCAGGTTCATTGACGACAACCAGGCTAAAAACTTTCAAAATGTTTGCACATGTGCACTGAAGTTAATTATGCGACACATAATTTCGACACATTAATACCAACTACACCCACGCACACACATGCATCTAGTTTGTTGGAGTGCTTATGACGGCGTCCATAATGAAGCTCCCTCCAGCTCATAAAGAGAAGCATCTCCACTGCCAGCAGCTCAGGAGTAACCTCCGAAGCCCATTTCATGTTGTCGCATATAAATATTCATTAACGGAGTGAGGAAACCAGCTGTTTCTCCCAATTAATCTGTGCAGAGATATGCCATTTGCCAATAAATCGTTGTTGTATAATTAATGGCTCTCATTGCATGGTGGCACAGAGAGAAACAATACCTCATTTAATATTGAGATTTATATTCATAAACTTGGCAAAAGCAAGCGGCTAATCAGCTTTAGTAATAAACGGAGCAGCATCCCTGGAGGAAGTGGAAACTTTTAGCCGCATGTCCAAGAATCAGCCACCCCGCATCCCAGATAAATCAAGATGTCAGGAGATTTCTACATCAAAGCCAATGTGGCGCTGGCCATGTTAACAGGCCGTACACACAAGCCGGCGATGGGAAGCGAGGCGGTGAAGACGCCCACTTCAAACAGCAAACTGAGATCATTATCTGGGCAGGTTGAAAACACTCTGGTCAGGAGAAATCTTATGGGACTTACCATCAGGAGGAGGTGCCGGTGTGAAGTGAACAGGTTTATCTGTAGGGAGAAAGAGAGAGAGAGGCACATTAGTTAAAAGGAAGACATCTGGACGTTCCCAGGCGGTCAGCCAGTCGTTTTCAATGAGCGCCAGGACAGTGGACTACATGACTCTTTCACAGAGGTTAAATCTCAAAAAGAATAGTTAAGGGAGATCAGTTGGAATATGAGATTAAAAGAACATCCTGGGTCAAATACAACTTGAGCTCTATTGACTGCAACTGTGGAGATACATGCACTTAGTAATCACTGGATGTTTGTTTGGTGAACATGCTTGAAGGGATAGTTCACCCAAAAATGAAAATGACCTCATCATTTATTTCTCATCATGTGGTTTTATCATTTATGCTTCTTTTTTTTTTTTTTTTGAACAAAAAAATATATTGAAGAATGCTGGCACACATGGACTTCTAAATTACTATATGGCATTACCAGCATTTTTCAAAATATCTTGTTTTGCATTCAATAGAAGAAAGGAACACAAATAGGTTTTGAACAAGTAAAGGCTAATGATAAATTTTTTTATTTTAAATTTCAGGTGAACTATGCCTTTAAGTATTCAGGCCTGTAGCAGGAGGTGTTCAGGTGGTTCGAAAGACTCACCCCTCACTGACAAAGGTCCAGAATTTGTCTCATAAACAACCCACATAGCAAAATTTCTCTGGTCCAGCTCTGGCCCACACAATCAGGTTTTGCTTGGCCCACATGCCGCAGTGAATTACGGTACATGACTGGACCAAATCTGGCTTCCAGACAAGGGCCAAACACAGACCACATCTGGGCCAAGTCTCAGCCAAGTTAATAACTCATAACTGGGCCTGAACTGGGCCAGATAGGTTGGTGTGTCACGATTGCAATGAAATTGATAAACCCATGGAGTGATGCGCTTTAGGCACACTATGGGCACGCTTTTTCTTAAAGTGACCTGATTGGTAGATTTTTTTTTCTTTACTCAAAAATGATTTTAGTGTATTTTAAATGTGGGTCAAGACTGGGCAAACTCACATGGCCCACTTATCAGATTTTTAAATCTGGGCCAAATACTACGTTTTTCATCTGGCCCAGATCTTGTGTGCCGCCTTAAAAACGGTGCCACCTCTGCCAAACCTGGGCCATGTTTGGCCCACATGCTGTATGCCAGTGCCGGATGAATGCCTGCTGTGCCAGCTTTATGCCAAATCTGGGCCAGAATTCTTTGCAACTAGGGAAGTTAATTTGTCCTATTTTGACTGCTATGTCATAATAAATTGTAAAAATATTGAATTGAATTGAAAAAAAAAAAAAAACATTAAAGAAGGCTTTAAAAGCAGAATCCTCTTTTGGCTGTTGCTTTAGCATGACTGAGGAAAGTTAAATGTGCTGCCCAGTTTGGGTTTGCCTAATAAATGACAATAGGTTAGTTTTTAATTTAAAACTTGAACAGAATCCTTTTTTTAACTATATAATAAATTTGTATTTGAAAAATAAGTATTATTCTCTTTTTTTTCTAAATCTTTAGGACATGTTTTTGGTACATTACAACATATTGTTGATGACCATCTGACAAGCTAATCCAGCAAAAAATACTGCTTAAAAAGTATTTAAACCAAGTAAAAAGTTCAAGAAAAAAGAACCACCCCTTTCACCAGGCTGGCTACGGGCCTGGTATTAGTAGTCAAAAGAAATCTGTGCAAAGTTTTTAAAATATCCAAAGTTTCCAAAGATTCCAATTTCCTCGATACTATATTTTCATCATTAAAGTGGTGAATTAAAACATGCTTTTCTGTATGACTTTATTGATAATAGTAAGAAACATCTTTGCAAATTTGTATAAAGATATGGCCATTAAAATGTATTTTATTTTTTTATCATGGCTCGCCTCATTTTGTGCAGCGGCTAGCCACAGCTACAGCCACGGCAACAGAGAAACAGTCACCCGCGGGCATCGACTTCTCCGCCTTTAGAACTGGCCACTACTGTAAATGAAGCTCGACCTATACTCCAGTCAGAGTATAGGGTATATGCAGAGCTAGTATTTCTTCCCATATTGATAAACTTTGGATAAATGGTAATGTGACTTTTTCCATTTTGTACAGTTCCTTTTACAGCATTGATGTTGTAAAGTAGTTAAATATAATCTGTTAAATAGACTTTTGTATTCATTTAGTTGCTCAAGCTTAAAACGAGATGACAAGCCGTTTACATGCACATGCCCATCATAATTGGCGGGCTAGCACAGAAGCTCCATTGAATATACTGCAGTAAAATAAATGTTCATCTTTTAAAGACATGGCGGAGAAAAAAGTATTTTAATGCAGTGCTTTTTGTAAAATCTGAAATCCACTTTACTGTCTATCGCATAGCAATAAAGCCAGTGGAGATCATAGATTTTTAAAGAAAACAGACCTTAAATGCGGCGGTTTTATAATGGTATACAGTTCACAGGAAGTGACTGACCCAGGTTACTAACAAATTAAAGTCATTCCGCATATACCCTATTTCCCTGAGTGCTGTGGCTAACCGCATGGCATTCTGTTCCCTGAGACGTGCATTTCTAAAGGCCCCATCTGTATGTATTAACAATGCGTGAGATTAAATCTTTTTACAGACTATACAAGAAGGTAAACATTAAAGCTGTTTTTATACAAAACTAAAACAAAACTAAATGTTCTTAGTCAGACTTGACAAAAAAGGATCAATTAATAAATTACATTGTTTTCTGTATATTCAATTTATTAATTCATTCATTTTCTTGTCGGCTTAGTCCCCTTTATTAATCCGGGGTAGCCACAGCGGAATGAACTGCCAACTTATCCAGCAAGTTTCTACGCAGCGGATGCTCTTCCAGGTGCAACCTATCTCTGGGAAACATCCACACACAAACTCTCACACACACACTCATACACTACGGACAATTTAGCCTACCCAATTCACCTCTACCGCATGTCTTTGGACTGTGGGGGAAACCGGAGCACTCGGAGGAAACCCACGTGAAAGCAGGAAGAACATGCAAACTCCACACAGAAACGTCAACTGAGCCAAGGCTCGAACCAGCGACCCAGCGACCCAGCGACCTTCTTGCTGTGAGGCGACAGCGCTACCTACTGCACCTGATTCGCCTATATTCAATTCAATTCATGTTTATTTATATAGCGCTTTTTACAATGTAGATTGTGTCAAAACAACTTAACAAAGTTTTAAGAAAGTCCAGATATCAGAGTTGAATTTCAGTTTAGTTCAGTTCAGTGTGGTTTCAATTTCACTGCTGAAAGTTCAAACACTAAATATAAATTTACTATTTCCTATTTCATTTTGACAGCAACAGTTCAGTTGCTGAACAAAAGAGTTTCTTTAAAAAAAAAAAAAAATTCTTTAAAATATATTACAGACCTCAATTTTTAAAGTGGTATATAATAATACATATGATTTTGACAACAAAAGTTGCTCTTCTAAGATATCCACTTTAATTCTCTATGATGTTTTATGTAGATGTTTCTTAGCTATTTCTAAGCTCATACTGCAGCATCATACTGAGCAAATGTCTTCTTATTTCAAGAGCTTATTCAAGCTGAAACATTTTCTGTGTGTCAGTGATAGAGCACATTCAAATCACTCTCTGGCATTCATAAAGAAGACTACAACTATATTCTTACAGACTTGAGACTCTGAGCATGCGTTTTTAATTTTCATTACTATCCGATTCAAGGGACTGAAACATCCACATGGTTTTAGCATAATGTTTATCAAATCACGATCCAAAAAAGTGTCTCCTTTGGACAAACTCTGCAACTACGTCAACTAGCAGTCAATAGAGTATTAGCAGAATAGTAGGGAATGTACTGTGTGTGTGTGTATAAATAATCTAAATGTAATAAAAGGTTTTGTTTTTCTTTGCATTTTGAACATTTTTGCTATGTTATAACACCTGACCACTAGTTAGTGATGTCACTTTGTGAAAAAAAAACACATACAGTCCTGTACTCCATCGCTGTTGTGTGCTTGCACATGCAAACAGATGCATTTTTTCAGTTCACAGCATGCACAAAATTACATTCTTGTGGTTTATATAGAGATATAGAGAGAAGGAACTTTGAAAAACTTATATTTGTATGTCTGTATTTGTTTGTATTTCCTGAAAATACAAAGTCAAGGCCAATCTGCTAATACTTACATTTTCCGTAAGCAATCACTTTAAGCTCTTACTTTAATAAACGCTAAAATATTCAAACTAGACAAGCGGCCAAAACTGTTAGGCTGAAACTCATTAAAATCAGCGCAGACTGAAAGTGGGAACTGCCACAGAAGTTGGAAGCGACCCCGCTCAGTCTAACTTTCCTCCAAAGCGAAGTGATTCTGGAAACACTGAACTCGCGTACCTTATTACTCTTGACAGAAGCGGCTTTTCAACAACACCCGCATGAAGCCATCCAGCTAAAAGTGTGGCTACAACACCCTGCTTCGACAGGCGGGAATAACCAACGCCACAAAACTATCACATCAATTGCCCAGCCAGCCGGTTGCGCTTAGGTACACACACACACACAGACACACACACGCACTCCCACACACAGGGCCAGAGCTGGAATCTCTGCTCTTCTTTTCACCAGCACCCCCAACTGCCAGGATGGAGTTTAATTTTAGGCTCACTTCAAATTGCTTGTCAACAACTGAGCGCAAGGAAGATTGGAGAGTCGGCGATGGGGAGAGAGAGATGGAGAGAGAGAGAGAGAGAAAGAGAGAGAAAGAGAAAGAGAGAGAGAGACAGAAAAACTGAAAAGCGAGCCAGAAAAAGAGCAGGGAATCGGCTTGCTGTGCTTCTCTCCTTGAATAATGAAGTGTCTGTTGAACTGGTCCGAGAGTCAATCATGACAGTTACAGCGTTTCATCCTCTGGGAAACATCGCTATAGCTGAGGGTGAATAGCACACACACAGATGTGTATCACAGAGATAAAACATATACTGCTCACACACTATAATGCAAAGCCTGTGACGCCCCCGAGCACAGCTTGACTTTCTTACATG